GTCTGGGAAACTGCAAGGGTACCCCCACCCACCTCTTTGGACTATTGGAGAAACAGGCTTGGAGAGAGCTAAAGGGGTACACCTACTCCATATTTGAGCATCAGCGATACATTTGCTAGAACACGTAAAGTTAACTCTAAAACCGAAGATCAGGGAGAAATAAAACAATGTTACTAAGTTATAGAGTTAGTTACTGTTGCTAGGGAGCCTTCTGTCTGCCGCCTCCTGTGTCCAAAACCAAACCAAAGATGAGCAAGTCTTGTCAGGTGTTGGTTGCTGTCTCGTTGATTCTAACTCTTGAAGTTCGGCTCCATAAAGTTTTCAATGCTGCGATCGCCAGGCTCATCTTTGAATGTGCCTCTGGGTAGATTCGAACATCCAACCTTTCAACGAGTAGTCCAGTACTTCATCTTTTGTGGACCCCAAAGGCTCCTTGTATTGTATTGTCAGAGCGGTGCCTTGGTAAATAGCCTTAAACCAAGCCTTTCTCCTATGATTAATTAAAAGGCTTGGAAGAGACCTGAAAGAAAATGAATTTCTTACTACAAGCTCTTCAGTCTATCACCTCAGTGCATGTTGGAAAATGCTGACTTTCTGGATAGCCTGGCTTTCATAATCCTCTTAGACGATCCTTTCAGCGTCCTTGTGAAGCCTGTTCCTGCCTTGAGTTAGGCTTTTCTCTGTGAAAAAATTCAGTGCCATCGAGTTGTTTCTGACGCATCACAGTGACCCTACATGGATTTCAGAGGTTTTGTAAATCTTTACAGGTGCAGTCTCATCTGCCTTCTACAATGCTGCTGGTGGGTTTGAACTGCCGACCTTGCAGTTAGCAGCCCAGTGATTTACCTGAAAGGGCCACCAGGACTCCCTTCTCTGTGTAAAACTTGGCCGTTTTCCAACACCTCACACTAACCATCCTTTCAAGCTCCCTTAGGAAATGCTGGCTCTCTTTATTTTCATTCTGCACCAGTAACAGTGAACTCCAGGTGTCAAGAGCTGGCCTAAGAACTTCCCAGCCTTTATTTCATTTCCCCTCACATCAGTCCTCTGAGGTAGGTTCATTGATTGCCTTTTGTGTGTGAGGAAATTGAAGTGCAGAGAAAATAAATAATTTACTAAGATCACACAATAAGTGGTGGAGCCAGCTTTCAACTCTAGTCTTCCTCACTGCAAAGCTTCCTCACTCTTACGTCCCACTCCAATTTTCTCTGGTGTTCCAGAGGTTGTAAACTCAATGTGGGAGGTATTTATTTGCATCATCAACACAAAAGAATTGTCTGTTTTTCCTAGCAATGTCCTTCATTCTGTTATCTCTAATAAGAATGTTTAGCTTGAAGAAGCCAAGCCAATTCACTAACTCCTAGTTAGAGGAAGAAACAAGTTTTATTAAGAAGGTGATACCACATACCCACACCCTCCAGGGGGAAGAACAACAGAAACCATGGGTGAAGGGAGACAGTGGTTGGTGTGAGATATGCAAATAATAATAATTTATAATCTATCAACAGGTCATGAGATTGGGAGGGGGGGCGGGAAGAGGAGCTGATGCCAAGGGCTCAATAGAAAGTAATTGTCTAGAAAAGAATGATGGTAACATATATACAAATATGCCCGATACACTTGATGTATGGATTGTAATAAGAGCCCTCAATAAAATGATTTAAAAAAATGGACATTTAAAAGGGAAAAAAAAAAAAGATGACACCAGTGAAGAGGCCCATGACAGCTCACAGGTTGTCTAGTTGGTATCCTGTTTGAAATTTGGATACAGAGAGAATATATACCTTTTGTTTTGGAATGTACACCTCAGGGAGTCACATTTACATTAACTCAGGTTTCAGGTAACCACGGGAAACAATTGGTGATCATGAGCAAGCAAACAGAACAAAAAAAGGTTCTTAAAATCTTAGGCCAGTCTCAGGATATCTTTGTTGACCAACTAGATTGTGGGACCTAGTTTTTAATCACTAACAGGTAGGAATCTCAGAGTTATCTGGCCCTTCTAAGTGAGATCCACACCCAACCTGTCTGCTATGAGCAATGTCGCAAGTCATAAAAATTGATTACTAAACAGAGTGCATTGGAGAGATGAGGATAGAAGATCAAAGGCATACATCTGACTTGAACAGTTAGAACTTTGTCAGTTGATCCCCACTATGATGCATGCTGGACCTGATCTGTTTTTCAACATTTTCTGAAATTTTTTTGTTCATATTAGGGTGTATCTCAAAGGTGTTATGTTCTTGGAGGTCACCCTCATGAAGTTGTGTAATGTTTTTATGTGTTTCAGTATATGCAACCCAGGATTGATGGACCTATAGGGACAGCAAGTCGAATAAGTGGGAGGGGATACAGTGGTGGTGGTGGGGAGGGGGTATAAAGGGAGATGATGTCAAGGAGTCCAGAAAGAAAAACACTGTTTGGAAACTAATTGTGGTAGCAATTGTACAGTCCTGCTTGATATGATTAAGCTATGGAATGATACAAGTATTGACTCCCAATTAATAATACATTTAAAAAAGTCCATCGAACCAAAACTCACTGCCATTGAGTCAGTTCTGACTTACAGCTAGCCTATAGGACAGGGTAGAACTTACCTTCTGGGTCAGCTTGTACATTTCACTATGTGGCCCACCTTACCCTCCTGCCTCATGCTCACTAACATTTATTTATTTATTTATTTTTAAAGTCATTCTATTGGGGGCTCATACAGTTCTTATCACAATCCATACATACATCAATTGTGTAAAGCACATTTGTACATTTGTTGCCATCATGATTCTCAAAACATTTGCTCTCCACTTAAACCCCTAGCATCAACTCCTCATTTTTCCCCTCCCTCCCCG